GGGGCATATGTGGCTGTCCACCAGGCGAATAGACAGTCCAGTACTACCGAAATTTAGGTTTTTTACACGGGGCCATACGTGGCTTACCTGCAAGAGAAATATATAGCCTATTTCCTAAAGTCGTTTTTTTTTTACACGGGGCCATATGTGGCTGTCCACGGGCGAATAGAGAGGCAATTACTGCAGAGATTTAAGTTTTTCACACGGGCCATAAGTGGCTACCTGCAAGAGAAATATATAGCCTTTTACTAAAGTCGTTTTAGTTTTTACACGGGGCATATGTGGCTGTCCACAGGCGAAAAGACAGTACCAGTACTACCGAGATTTAAGTTTTTTACACGGGGCCATACGTGGCTACCTGCAAGAGAAATGTATAGCCTATTACTAAAAAAAAGTCGTTTTCAATTTTACACGGGGCCATATGTGGGCTGTCCACAGGCGAATAGACAGTCCAGTACTACCGAGATTTAGGTTGTTTTTAGCACGGGGCCCATACGTGGCTACCTGCAAGATAAATATAACAGTCTTTAACTAAAGTGGTTTCAGTTTTACACGGGCCATAATGTGGCTGTCCGAAGGCGAATAGACAGTCGAGTACTACCGAGATTTAGGTTTTTTTACACGGGGCCATACGTGGCTAAACCTGCAAGAGAAATATATAGCCTATCCTAAAGTCGTTTTAGTTTTTTACACGGGGCCATATGTGGCTGTCCCACGGGCCGAATAGACAGGCATTCATTACTGCACCGAGATTTAAGTTTTTCAGATGGGGCCATCAGTGGCTACCTGCAAGAGAAATATATAGTCTATTATTAAAGTTCGTTTCAGTTTTTACACGGGGCCATATGTGGCTGACCACGGCGAATAGGCAGTCTATTTCTTCCGAGATTTAAGTTTTTTAGCACGGGGCCATACGTGGCTACCTGCAAGAGAAAATATACATCCTATTACTAAAGTCGTTTCAGTTTTTACAACGGGGCCATATGTGGCTGTCCACAGCGAATAGACAGCCAGTACTACCGAGATTTAGGTTTTTTTACACGGGGCCATCAGTGGCTACCTGAAAGAGAAATATATAGTCTATTACTAATGTCGTTCAGTTTTTACACGGGGCCATATGTGGCTGTCCACGGGCGAATAGGCAGTCTATTACTTCCGAGATTAAGTTTTTACACGGGGCCATACATGGCTACCTGCAAGATAAATATATAGCCTTTTACTAAAGTCGTTTCAGTTTTTACACGGGTCCATATGTAGCTGTCCACGGCGAATAGACAAGCAATTACTGCAGAGATTTAAGTTTTTTACACGGGGCCATACGTGGCTACCTGCAAGATAAAATATATAGCCTTTTACTAAAGTCGTTTCAGTTTTTTACCACGGGGCCATATGTGGCTGTCCACGGCGAATAGACAAGCAATTACTGCAGAGATTTAAGTTTTTCACACGTGGCCATAAGTGGCTACCTGCAAGAGAAATATATAGTATATTACTAGAGTCGTTTCAGTTTTTTTACACGGGGCCATATGTGGCTGTCCAACGGGCGAATAGACACGCAATTACTGCAGAGATTTTAAGTTTTTCACAACGGGGCCATCAGTGGCTACCTGCAAGAGAAATATATAGCCTATTACTAAAGTCGTTTCAGTTTTTAACACGGGGCCATATGTGGCTGACAACAGGGCGAATAGGCAGTCTATTACTTCCGAGATTTAAAGTTTTTTTACACGGGGCCATACGTGGCTACCTGAAAGATAAATATATAGCCTTTTACTAAAGTCGTTTCAGTTTTTTACACGCGGGCCATATGTGGCTGTCCACAGGCGAATAGACAGTCCAGTACTACCGAAATTTAGGTTTTTTACACGGGGCCATACGATGGCTACCTGCAAGAGAAATATATAGCCTATTCCTAAAGTCGTTTTAGTTTTTCAACACGGGGCCATATGTGGCTGTCCACGGGCGAATAGAGAAGGCAATTACTGCAGAGATTAAGTTTTTTCACACGGGGCCATAAGTGGCTACCTGCAAGAGAAATATATAGCCTTTTACTAAAGTCGTTTTAGTTTTTACACGGGGCCATATGTGGCTGTCCACAGGCGAAAAGACAGTCCAGTACTACCGAGATTTAAGTTTTTTACACGGGGCCATACGTGGCTACCTGCAAGAGAAATGTATAGCCTATTACTAAAGTCGTTTCAATTTTTTACACGGGGCCATATGTGGCTGTCCACAGGCGAATAGACAGTCCAGTACTACCGAGATTTAGGTTTTTTACACGGGGCATACGTGGCTACCTGCAAGATAAATATACAGTCTTTTACTAAAGTGGTTTCAGTTTTTTACACGGGGCCATATGTGGCTGTCCGAAGGCGAATAGACAGTCTAGTACTACCGAGATTTAGGTTTTTTACACGGGGCCATACGTGGCTACCTGCAAGAGAAATATATAGCCTATTCCTAAAGTCGTTTTAGTTTTACACGGGGCCATATGTGGCTGTCCACGGCGAATAGACAGGCAATTACTGCAGAGATTTAAGTTTTTTTCAGATGGGGCCATCATGGCTACCCTCAAGAGAAATTAATATAAGTCTATTAATTTAAATCCGGTTTCCAGTTTTTAGCACGGGGGCCAATAATGTTGGCTGACCACGGGCCGAATAGGCAGTCATTCTTCCGGATTTTAAGTTTTTACACGGGGGCCAACGTGGTACTGCAAGAGAAATATACCCTATTACTAAAGTCGTTTCAGTTTTACAACGGGGCCCCAATGGGCTGTCCACAGGCGAATAGACAGCCCATACACCGAATTTAGGGTTTTTTACACGGGCCCAACGTGGCTACCTGCAAGAGAATATAACCTATTATAAATCCCTTTTAGTTTTTCCAGCGGGGGCCAATATGTGGCTGTCCACGGGCGAAAGGCAGTCCAGTACGGCTGACATTTAAAGTTTCTTACAACCCTGGCCATCGTGGCTTAAGTAATTATGAAAACAATGCACAGTCCACTGCTGCGACCGTTTAGAATTTGTCATGGGGCCATATGTGGCTATATAGGAGACGCAATACTTTTGCTAGTGGGTTAAATATCTGTCGTTTTCCAAAAGGGTCACATGTACCCCTGCACGGGACAAATAAACAAGTTCTGCGTTTAACCATTATTGTATTTTCATGAGGTCATATGTGGATACCTGCAAGAGACAATATTCAGCCTATTACTGTAGTCATTTCAGATTTTACACGGCGCTATCGTGGCTGTCCACAGGCGAATAGACAGACCAGTACTGCTTGCCATTCACGTTTTTTACACGGGGCCATACGTGGTTTAGTACAAGAAATAATGCACAGTTCATTGCTGCAACCTTTTTATAATTTTTCACGGTCCAAAAAGCGGCTACGTAGGAGACCCAATACGTTGGCTTTGGGGGTAATCTTCTGGTATTTTCAAAAGGGGGTGTGTACTCTTGCACGGGACAAATAAACGAGCTCGGCCTTTAACCAATTAAGTGTTTTTATGTGGTCATGCGTGGCTTCCTGCAAGAGACAATATACAGCCTATATCTAAAGTCATCTCAGTTTTTACATAGGGCCATATTTGCCTGTCCACAAGCGAATAGGCAGTCTATTAATGCCGAGATTTAAGTTTTTTACACAGGGCCATACGTGGCTAAGTATAGAAACAGTCACACGGTCCTTTGATGCAGCCGTTTAGAAACTTTTCATGGGGCCATACGTGGCTACATAATAGCGAATTGACAGTCTATTACTGCCGACCTTTAAGTTTTTTCACGAGGCTACATAAGAAGCGCTATACTCTTTGCTAGGGGGGGGGGGGGGTAAATAATCTTTCATTTTCCAAAGTGGTCATATTTTCCCCCTGTAACAGGAGAAAATAAACAATTCAGCGTTAACCGTTAAGTATTTTCACGAGGCCATGCGTGGCAACCTGCAAAAGAAATAATAGCCTATTATACGGGTTTCAGTTTTAAACACGGGGGCCATATGTTGGTTCACAAGCAAAATAGACAGTTTTATAACTGCCAGTATTTAAATTTTACACGGGGCCAAACGTGGCTAAGAAAAAACAAATCAATGCCGTTTAGAATTTTTCAAGGAGTCAAAGTGGCTAACATAGGAGACGTTAATACTCTTGTTTAGCGGGTAAATAGTGGGATTTTTCCAAGAGAACATATGTAATCCTGTGGGGATATATAAACAACTCGGCCTTTAAACCATCAAGTATTTTTCATGAGGCCATATGTGTGTACGTGGCTACCTGCAAGAGACAATATATAGTCATCTCAGTTTTTACATGGAACCATAATATGATTCGTGATTATTGTCAAGAGGCAATGTACAGCTCGTTTTTGAAGCCATAAAAAATAAAAGTATATATTGATATATGATAATATTAATTAATATAGTCCGAGACGTTAGCCAGTTTATTTTCATAGGGCTATAGAAGCAATTATATACGAATTATCATAAGTCTGACTGGACAACCATTCGCTACGATCACCACTGTTCTTTATATGTAATGTTTTAAAGATTTTTTCCATTTGATAGAGTTCTAACAATACTTTTAAACGTACCGTAATAAAGCTGTATGATAGGCGGACCGAGGAAGAAAATACACAGATTTAGTGGTTCTAGTACCCAGCGGTTGATGGCCCACAATCACGTGTGTAGCGATTGATCGCCATAAGAAGAGACCCTTTTAGCCAGTTTTATTTTCATAGGGCTATAAGAAGCAATTATATACGAATTATCATAAGTCTGACTGGACAAACCATTCGCTACGATCACCACTGTTCTTTTATATGTAATGTTTTAAAGATTTTTTCCATTTGATAGAGTTCTACAATACTTTTTAAACGTACCGTAATAAGCTGTATGATAGGCGGACCGAGGAAGAAAATACACAGATTTAGTGTTCTAGTACCCAGCGGTTTGATGCCCACAATCACTGTAGCGGATTGATCGCCATAAGAGAGACCCCAAAATTTTCCGTAGAATCTATTATCTGTTCAAAATTCTTCGAATTAAACAGGTGAAAGGTAGGTAAACCAATTTTGGTTACATAATGTTATCTTACAAAAGATATCTTAGACAGTTTCGCAAGCGATGCCTAGAAGTGAAGTATGGTGCTGCTTTGTACTAGACATGTTGTTATATCGGATATGTAAAAATTTCGGATAAACATGTCGATTAGTTGTTTTAAAATTTTTCACCCATTTATTTTAAACTTCTATTTGTGACTTAGACATCAATTGACTTTAAGTCACGACTGTTAAGTTTGACTGTTGACTTTTTTCAAAAGTGCTAGGGTGCATGATCCCAAATGAATCAGGGTCGGCTCGGCCGGCGGCCCTAAAACGTACTCGGCCACTGAGTCAGCTCGGCCCTATTGCAACTCAGCACGGGTCAACTCGGCCCACTTTTCAATATATTGGCTTGGTTAAACACTCATTATTGTTGGAACCATATAATTGAAATATGGGCTTATTCACAAACTTGGAAACTAAGATATTTTCTTAAATTATTACATTTTTTGGTAATGTAATAGTTTTCAATGATTTGTGTTATAAAAGATCATTACAATCCATCCTTATGACATTGCAAAATACATTGCATGTTAACAAATGCATTACATGTTGTTTTATGTATATATATAAGATCAAGAACAAAAATTTCATATTTTTATATAATAAGTAAACATGTTTTTATTTCAGCTTTTATTGAAGATTACAAACAAAAAGCATCCTAGGGGACACATTTGTATTATATTAATTCAAGAATAAATGTAAAATATTTTTTCCAAATATACTCAAATTATGCAAAAGTGCAATGTATTAATCATATAATAATATACCAGATATATATATCTTATTTTTCAATTAAAACAGCTTGCCTATGCAGCTTATAACATGCAAGTAATCAAAAAAAGTTAATATGTTAAATATGTTTTTGGTTTAAATATATTTATTTAAGCTTGATTGCGAAACAAGTTCTTGCAACTTATATTAATCACTTTCGAGTCCGCTTCCTGGAACCAACCAGTACTGGTGTCATATGGAGAAACATGGTCATGACTCGAGTAGGGCTCGAACCCATGAACTCTGGGTTGAGAGACAGACATCTTAACCACTAGGCCACCGCTCCCCTTAAATATGTTTTTTCAAAAGGGGGCCGAGTTGACCGTGCAGAGTTGGTATATGGCAGAGTTGACTCTTTACCATCCCAAAGTGCTGTTTGAGAATTTCCCTAAACTCTACAAGTCTTGGAAGTGCTGTAGACAGGAGACAAAACTTTGCCAATAGGGACATTATTTTACTGGAAAACAGTTTCAGTCCTCCATGATTTTTTTTTCAGACTGCGCCAAAGAATTAATGAAAATGAAAATAATAAAAAGTAATTGTTGCTTATAAATATGAATCAATTCTTATTAATTTGTTTCTTTCCAATAGATACAGTACAGCTCAAGCGATTTTGGTACTTTCCATATTTTGTCACTGAGGACACTTTTAACAGTGTGTGGAAAATCGCGGCGGACATTCTATGGTCAGTCACAGTGGAAGATCACTGCAGACTGGTTAAAAAATTCCTGCAGTCCCTGGTGGAAATTCACAGAGATTTTGCCGGTATAAATATGTCATATATAAATGTTCACGTTCGTGTACAATGTAGTCTTTTTAGAAAATAATCAGTAACACTCTATTGCTTTAAAAACAGCCATAACATCATATGTATATGTATAAAAATTGGTAGTTTTGAAGTTCCATTTGCGTAAAAACTGTAAATAAAATACATCACAATGAAAATGCACTTAGGATTAATAGTATGTCAATAATTGACATGATCAATATCCAACAATTCTTTAAAATTAAACATGTGTAATCGTTTCTTGACAAAAAGAAAACACAGTTTTTTTTTTCTTATATAATTATAAAAATGGGTGGAAGTCAATTGAGCGTCAGCACTTCTTTGATGATTCGGCATCAACTACACATATTCTTTTGAAGAGCCGACTAGTCATTTGTCAGAGGTCATCTCGTGTGTTAATTTTGTGTATATTATTTAACAATTGAAAAATTCTTTTATTTATGGATGCTACTTTTTGCGTGAGTGTTTTTGTGTCTTTTAGCGCTATGGAATTTCGACAAGCGGCGATGAATTTTTGGTAACTAACAAATATTTCAACATTTTAAAAACATAAGGGCAAATATCGGCCATTCAGAAATTATAGGAGACAAATCCTGCATGTGTTATTTTTTACAGACGCAAGTTAATTCGTGTAATAAATTGATAAATGGTCACTCGAGTAAGCAAAATGTCGCTACGCTATTTCACAGTGATCCACGGTGACAATATTTGCCAGCGCAAATTTCACCCGATTGGGTGATAAGAGGAAAGTCACAACTATCGCAAGGACATTGCAATGATTAACAAAAACAGTTTTATAAACAGCAAAAAAATCAATGATTTAGTACAAACTATATCTTAAATGTGTAAATAGTTCAAGATATGAATCATAATCTGTTACCTTGCAGATATTCCGGACATTGTAGGTGTGAAATTGATCATGTTTACACATAAAGCTGTGACATTGGTACTTTGAATAATAAAGATAAGCAGCATTTGTAGTATCAAATGCATATATGTAAAATGTATATATAAGTTTAAATTTGATAAAAGCAGTCTTTTTATGCTCCCCGAAAAATTTCGGGGGAGCATATAGTCGGCGCCTTGTCCGTCCGTCCGTCTGTCCGTCTGTCCGTCCGTTGTCTTGTCCGGAGCATAACTTGAAAACCCTTGGAGATAATTTGTTGAAACTTCATACAGTGGTAGAGGGCATCAAGGGGGAGTGCAGTGTCAAAGAACCATAACTCTATTTTGCCCGGTTTTTGAATTATCTCCCCTTATAGAAAAATCTTGTCCGGGGCATGCCATAACTCTAAAACTATAAGAGATATCAACATGAAACTTTGTAGGTGAATAGATCTCAATGGGTAGATGTGCAGTGCATAAGAACAATAACTCTTTTTGTCCTAATTTTGGAGTTATTGCCCTTTGTTAATTTTAATACTTTGAACTTTGTCCGGAACATAACTTGAAAACCCTTGGAGATAATTTGTTGAAACTTCATACAGTGGTAGAGGGCATCGAGGGGGAGTGCAGTGTCAAAGAACCATAACTCTACTTTGCCCAGTTTTTGAATTATCTCCCCTTATAGAAAAATCTTGTCTGAGGCATAACTCTAAAACTATAAGAGATATCAACATGAATTTTTGTAGGTGAATAGATCTCAATGCGTAGATGTGCAGTGCATAAGAACAATAACTCTTTTTATCCTAATTTTGGAGTAATTGCCCTTTGTTTATTTTGATACTTTGAACTTTGTCCTGAACATAACTTGAAAACCCTTGGAGATAATTTGTTGAAACTTCATACAGTGGTAGAGGGCATCGAGGGGGAGTGCAGTGTCAAAGAACCATAACTCTATTTTGCCCGATATTTGAATTATCTCCCCTTGTACAAAAATCTTGTCCGGGGCATAACTCTAAAACTATAAGAGATATCAACATGAAACTTTGTAGGTGAATAGATCTCAATGGATAGATGTGCAGTGCAAAAGAACCATAACTCTGTTAAGCCTTATTTTTGAATAATCTCCCCTTTTAGAAAAATCTTGTCCAGGACATAGCTGTAAAACTATAAGAGATATCAACATGAAACTTTGTAGGTAGATAAATCTCAATGGGTAGATGTGCAGTGCACAAGAATCATAACTCTACCTTGCCTAATTCTGGAGTTATTGCCCTTTGTTAATTTTTACTTTTTAGCTCGACTTTTCTATGAAAAGGGGAGCTATCCTACTCGCCCCGGCGTCGGCGTCGGCGTCACACCTTGGTTAAGTTTTTCGTACCACCCCACTTTATTTCAGAAGTATTACAAGTATGGCTTTGAAACTTACCATACTTGTTCACCATCATAACCTCCATCTACAGACAAGAGTACATAACTCTGTCAAGGTTTTTGACAGAATTATGGCCCTTTTTTTACTTAGAAAGTGTATTGAGCTTGGTTAAGTTTTTTGTACCACCTCACTTTATTTCAAAACCATTGGAGTATTGCTTTTGAAACTGACCATACTTGTTTACCATCACGACCTTCATCAACAGACAAGAGGACATAACTCTGTCAAGGTTTTTTGACAGAATTATGCCCCTTTTTGACTTAGAAAATACATTGAATATGGGTAAAATCCACTTATTGCCTTAACCCTTTGAGATATTGCTTTTGAAACTTTTAATGCTATTTCACATCATTACCCCCATCTGTACGCAAGAGAAGGTAACTCTGTCAAGGATTTGTTTTAAAAATTAAGGCCTTTTATCGACTTAGAATCTTGGTTAAGTTTTTAGTACCAGTCCACTTTTTGACTGAACTGTTTGAGATATTAATTTGAAAGTTGGAATACTTGTTTACAATCATGATTCCCAAACATGTCCAGGAGAAGGTAATTCTGTCAAAGATTTTATTTGAATTATGGCCCTTAACTGTCAATGTTTTGTATTATAGGCAAGCACTAAAAAACTTAAAAATCTAAAAAAATTCATTCCTATCCACTTGTTCACTTTACCATAAATTATGTCATATAAACATTGCTGTAATATTCAAGGGTATCAAACAACTAGTTCACTTTAAAAATACAGAGATTCTTGTATTGCCTTTTACTGCAAAAACTTTTTTTATTGGCAAGCAATAAAAAAGTCGAGCGCGCTGTCTTACGGACAGCTCTTGTTGAATTGTCCAGGACATAACTCGGAAATCATAAGAGATATCATCAAGAAACTTTGTAAGTTGATAGATCACATTGATTATAAGTGCAGTGCAAAAAACTGTAACAGCCTTGCCTAATTTTGGAATTATTGCACTTTGAACTTTTTCCACGGACATAACTCTGAAACTACAAGAGGTGTACTTTCCTGTGTCCAAAACCTATTCGGGGAGCATCACCCGGCTCAAACCGGGCTCTTGTTTTTCATAATTTTATGTATGCCACTTATTATGTCTGTTCTTACATCACTTTGTTTTAAAAAGACCATGTCAAAAATGGTTTTATTCAGTATAAATTATACTACATACATACTGTTTAATTTATATTATTGTTTTTTATATATCATCAATATATAGAGGATATTAAATGAGTGTAAGTTCAATACTGAGTTTATTGCACGAGTTGAATAAAATTATATTATGCGAGCCTCTGGCTAGCATAATATTATTTTATTCAACGAGTGCAATAAATTCAGTAATGAACTTACACAAATTTGATATTCTAACGTCACGTCAAAATATATGCACGGCCGTGCAATACCATATTTACGGAGTCGCAAAATCGGCACGGGTGTGTGATAAATTTATATATAATTAGGGAACAATAATTATATATTAATTTAGGTTGGAAATAGGACTGAATTAAGAAATGGTTAATATATAGTTAACCAATGTCTTATTTTTGAAAAATATTTAAAAGTAGTGGGGGTTGTAATTTTTGTTGTTGACCCATTTATCTGTGAAGTCATTTATTAAGCATGGAGATAAAGATATTCAGAATTGTAAACATACAATTTTCAAAACTTTACTGAATGTCCTGTATTTCTTTAAAGTGTTATAGTTTTTGTTATTGACACATTTACAGATGATTGAAATTAAAAAAAAGAAAATGAAAAAAAAATTTGCTTATGGGAATGAACCTATTTTTCTGATATCTTGAATGTGGTTTAAAACATACACCTTAATTGAAATACAGAATTCTTGTCCTGAGAAAAAATGCAAAATACAGTATAAACATTAAAATACATATATTGGGTCAGCAGAACCATGCTCTGTAAAAAATGATTGTTTGACTCGGGTCATGAAAGAAATACTATTTTTTTCTGATATTGAATGAATAAATAAGCAAAGGTTATCATAATGACAAAATAATATCAACTTATAAATAGTAATTGTCTCTTAGAATCAGTGATTTTTCTCACTTAATTGGGAAGAGGCCTTAGGTTTCTTGATTTTGGGAAAAATTATCGCTAAAATTGCCAATTTGGGAAGAAAAAAGCATGTTTAAGTTCTGGTTTTTGGGAAAACTGCATGATTTTAAAGAAAATTTCAATTGGGAAGAGGCCCTTTTTCGGAGTCTGTTATATAAACAGGAAAATCACTGAGAATATAACAATTAACACCTAGATACTCCCCAAAACTCTATTGTAGTGGTTACAGGTATTTATCGGAGAAGTTCAATGTAGATTAGGAGTTTGTTTAAAACATCTGTTGTGGAGCTGTACTGAAAACTTAAAAAATTTCTATATGACACATGTATGATATTGCACAATAATGGTGTTTTTTTTGATAATTAAAGAATGGAGACAGAAGATTGGTTGGATTACCTACCTATACAAGGTGAAGGTCCAGACCTTGTTGAGCAGGAAGAGTTGTTATGCTTTAGGAAAAGGGGTAGAGGCAGTATGGACCATCGTATTGTACCCCGTCTACCTCTGACGGCAATGATTCAAAGAATGAAACTTCTAGATGTAAGTATTTACCTGAAAATTAGCTTTACTTCTTTCCCTGTAACACTTTGAAGAAAACTACATCACTAGTATTGTAAGGCTAGCTTATAATTTTTAAAACAATTATTTGCACCTGTAGCCACAGATATACAGAACAAAACAGTTATGTTTATTATGTTAAAACAAACAATATTTAATATTGTTTGAAAGAAAATATATATGTATATAATAATTATATACATATATATTTTCTTTTTACACTTATTCATTATTGTTCCCAGGTAAAATGTTTTTAAAATTTGTAAGCAATACTTTCTAGTTAAATCTAAATCTCAGCTATGATAATTCATATAAAATAAATTAATTTTAAGGATCATTTACAATATTTGTCCATAGAGTAATGTTATTTATTAGCTGGACTATTTGAAGAATAGGGAGAGCTTTTATTGTACTAACCCAAGCGTGAGAGCAGATTTTGGTAAAGTTTTTGCATTTACAATGGTATGTCCAAAGGAATATGTTGAAAATTAAAACACTATTTGAGACCATGATAGAAGGTCACTATCCACATGATCCAAGGCACATAACTTTAAGATGGATTGTGACAGAATTATGGACCATTTTTAACTTAGAAAATTCTACATTATCCAGGCACTTGTTTTATTATCAAGCACTAAGGATAGTCAGACTGGCTGTCAGTTTTAATATTTAATTATTATGATATTTTGTATGCATTAAAGGACTCTGTTAGTTCAGGAAAACAGCGTGGTAGTAGAGGACGGGCCCGGATCCTTCAAGATAGAGCAAAATCTAGCAGACCTCATGGATTAAAACAGGTATCATTATAATAATAAACAATCTCATGCAGTCTTTTTTTGAAAATATAATGATAATAATTCCATTTTACAGACCATTAATCTATAACACTGAAGGGGATTCTTGAAATGGCATTGTCCCTCATTCAAGCCAGATCCATATTTTATAATTAGATTGTAATGACACTTTGCATTAAGGTGTATATGAGTAAGGAGATAAGACCTTTGAAATACCATCAATATGTGCCTGTCCATTATCACATTCTGGACCTCGTGTAGGTATTTTTTATTGTGGACAATTTCTGCTTGGACTCATATCTTGAAACTGTAAAGCTGCTGTGTTTTAGTAATTCTGTGAATGAATGTAATATCAAGCCTGCTTATTTGTGAAACTTAGCCAATTTATATACTTCAGGCTACTCTGTTTTAGTATTTTTTATTTTTAAATCCCTTAAAACACTTTATTTTACATTTTACATTAAAATCCATGCCAAGTCTATTTTCAAAATGATAAGTTAGTATGTGGCCGGTTAAAATTTCAAAATGATTATAAGCGATGGTTTTGTTTGCTTTCATTATGTATTCAAAATATGTTGAATTTTTCCATTGCATTTCGTTATTAGCTCACCAGAACGGAAGGTTCAGGGTGAGCTATTAGGATTAAAGGGGGATGCTCCAGTGTCCATCGTCTGTTATCATGCATCAACAATCGTCTTCTTCTCTGAAACTGCTGGGCAGATTTACTTCAAATTTGGTCTGTAGCATCCTTGTGACAGTCACACTAAAATTTGCTCATGTCATTTCAATGGGCCCCTTTAAGGGGTCAACAGAGCTAAAAATAGATAACCATTAAACATCTTCTACTACAGAACTAGTGAATGGATGATCACCAAACTTTGTCTGTAGCATTCTTTTGTAGTCTTTATCAAGTTTGCTCATATTAATTTGATTGGCCCCTTTTAGGGGCCACTAAAGCTAAAAATAGAAAAACCTTTGAACATCATTTCCTACTGAAATAATTGATGGATGATCACCAAACTTTGTCTGTAGCCTTCTTATGTAGTCTTTTATCAAGTGTGCTCATATTAATATATAATTGATATAATATAATTATTATTATATAATATTAAGGGGCAGCTAAAGCTAAAGATAGAAATACCTTTAAACGTCTCCTTCTACAGAGCTAATGGATTGATGATCACCAAATTTTCTTTTTAGCATTCTTAGGTAGTCTTTTATCAAGTTTGCTCATATTAATTTGATTGGCCCTGTTTAAGCTAAAGCTTAAATGCCCCAGGTCATGGCATTTCTTCAAATTATTGTTTAAAGATAATCTATGCTCAAATTTAACATTAGAAAATATTGGCAATGGATAATTTCCAACACTTAAAAGCAGTTGTTTCTGGTGAGCGACTCAGGGCCATCATGGCCCTCTTGTAATAATGATGTATTTTATTTTTTCAAAACAGAAAGAAAAGGAAAAACCTATAAAAAGGGAAGTAACTGAGACAATTTATGATGATAACCAAATAAATGAGAGGAATGATCCAACGTACAACCATCAATGGAGACAAAATGATTTTCCTAGCCTTGGAATAGGTACATGTTTTGAGGTCTTTTTTTTAAAGGAGCAATAAGCCTCAGAAGTAAATATTTTTCTCTTCCTGTAGAAAGGGAAGAGAAATTTATATATGTTTCATAATTTTATTATGTAATAATGTATTTAGAACATTTCAGATACTTTTCACATTTTGGAAAAGCACTGAGTGTAAAATAATTTGTCATAAAGGTAGCATAATGTAAATATAGTCGTATTTTGATTTCTATACACAGTCACTGTAACTGCACTAATTGCCAAAACACATTTCATTAACAAGCTAAACATGTCTCAGGTATATCGCCAATAAAGAACTTTTTGAAACT